TAAAATAAAGATTAAGGTGGAAAATTTTAAATTTTCTTACGCTAGGGATATTTCATCTTTCAAAATAAATGTTCCTAGCGAGCTCCTTTACACTATTTGCTCTCCCAACTTCTGGCCTTACCGTGCTGAACGCGCAGTGTTATAAAAACTATTTGACTCGTTGTAGGGCCCAGTTATCACAGGACCCAAAACAGTTTTATAATTTTGTTAACACTAAACGTAAGCCTAAAACAAATATATATTTTATAAAGGGCCTCCATAATAATTTTCAGACAAATGTAATCTATACTGATTTCAGTAAAGCATTTGACTCTTTTAACCATTCTCTCCTCGTAAGATAACTCGATTTAATGGCTTTTCCAAGTGATCTTCTTAATTGGATCGCAAGTTATCTAAATGGCAGGACGTAAAAGGTCCTCTTTAAGTATAATTTATCTACTGTTCTAAGGGTTACATCTGGTGTCCCGCAAGGAAGCCATTCGGGACCCTTTTTGCTTACATTATTTATGAATGACCTTCACAAAGTCTTGACTAACTCCAGAGTGCTTGTGTACGCGGATGACGTCAAGCTTTGCGTGCAATACAATGACGTCGCCTGCCAGTCGGATTTACAAACAGATCTCAATCATTTTCAAACTTGGTGCCGTGTAAACTTATTAAACTTAAACGGCTCGAAATGCAATCTAATGACATTCTCTCGTGTCGTTCCTAAGCTTTGTACTTACACGCTGAACTGCTACTCTTTGGAAAAAATTAATTCAGTTTATGATTTGAGCGTCCGCTTGGACCCAAAACTTGACTTTATTCATCATATTTCATCTCTAGTGAATAGAGCCAGGGGTGTGCTTGGATTTATTAACCGGTGGTCAAAGGAATTCAATGACCTTGCCTATGTCACTAAATTGTTATATACCTCTTTAGTTCGTCCTATCTTAGAATATGGATGCTGCGTTTAGAGCCCTCAGTACGGCGTCCATAGTAAACGCATCGAGTCTGTTCAAATAACTTTTACTTTTCGCTCTCCGCGGTTTAAATTGGGATGCAAACCAAAGATTACCTTCCTATTCAAATAGACTCCTCTTAATAAACTTACCGTGCTTAGCCAATCGTAGTAATAACCTTTATTTATAACCTTATCCATGGTGATATAGCCTTCCCAAATTAAAATCTTTAATACTAACACACTTAGAAAGCATGCAAGCTAACAATATGGCAGCCCGCCGGTTGTCAATTTCCTCGTATATTGTCCTATTTTTTGAATCGCGCCTACTAACAAACCCAAACAGGCACGTTTTTGGTGTCATACGGGCCACTTGAGTGTACTGACCGTAGTGCATCAACGTCCATTAAAAAACCTGGGCGTTCCACAGTTAGCTTCCCTTTTTGTTAAAATATAAACTCTTTCAATAGAAATCAATACATTTAATATTATTTAATATTATTTAATAATATTTAATCAGCATCGACAGCCGAGTCAATCTAGCCATGTGCGTCTGTCAGTTCTACGCAAACTAGTCTGTCAGTTTTAAAGGTATCTTCATAAAACTTTGCAGTTAGTCTTCTATATACTCACTCGTATTTGTCGAAACTGGTTGTATCGGAGGATTATATCATAAAGCTGCCATAGGAACAAGCAGAAAAAAAAAATTAAAATATTTTTTTTCCTTCAAGGTTTTGTAATATTTGTAATAAACTAATGTAGCAAGCAGTCACACTATCTAAATCATATACTTCGGCAACTTTAAACATGAGAATTGGTGATATTGAGGTAGACAATCGTTGGGTGGTTCCATACTCAACACTATTGTCAAAATCATACAAAGCGCACATCAACGTAGAATATTGCAATTCCGTGAAATCGATTAAATATAACTGCAAGTACGTGAATAAAGGCAGCGATATGGCAGTTTTTGGTGTTCAGGCAGAAAATGGGGACAGCAATGCAGTACGAGTTGTCGATGAAATCTCTCAATACCAAGCTGGAAGATACATAAGCAGCAACGAGGCTGCATGGCGAATTTTTTCGCTCCCAATTCTTGAACGCTATCCAGCTGTAGTTCACTTGGCAGTCAATTTGAAGAATGGTCAACGTGTCTATTTCACAGAACTAAATGTGCAAGAAAGAGTCCTAAATCCGCCTACGACAACTCTGACTGCCTTCTTCACCTTATGCCAGGAAGATGCTTTTGCCATAACCTTGATGTATTCAGAAGTGCCCTCTTAACCACAATATGCCACAGAGAAACGTGGCAGGATATAGCTAGTATATAATAGATATATAAGAGTAAGAGTAAATAGAAGCTGTTATAGCCAATTTCGGCCCAGCTGTACCACCCAATAAATATCGATAGAATTCAATCGGTAGATCTCGGTGGCATGCACCACCTTATGGAGGAAAAGGTTCTTGGACTGAAATGGTTCGAAACTGAAACAACAGGGTTCCAACCAGAAAACTAAAGATAAGGTGAAAGGAACTAAACCACAAGGAGAATATAGCGGTTGATTGGTTGAAAGCTAAGCGAGCGAGCCGGTCATAAGTTTTGAAATCAGTATTACATTTTTAAACAAAAAATTAAATAATTCTGTGCGCGTGCGCTTAAGACGATACAGCTTTAAATTTGTGAAATAAATTTGGCGGAAGGCTGAGGAGTCATTTCGACGTTTGGAAAGGATCAGAGAGGAAGGGAAGCCTGCTCGAGGAAACTCAAAAGATGAGTGGTCGTGGTACGGAGTTGAAGCCCTAATATCATGGCCCTCATTTCCAGGCTCGAGCAGACCCGCAGTTAAATAGAAATTTGTAACAAAAAAGAATTGTTGACAAAGGCCGACACGCCTTCCGAGTGGCGACACCGGCAGCTTTTAGCTTCAGTCAAATTTTTTTAGTATTAGGTTAAATTTTTGTTTTTTTTTTGTTGTTTGTGGAAATTTGTTTTCTTATTGAACTATTTATTTATATAACGTCTTTATATAATTGTCACATTTGTTTATCGGTTTTTTTATTTTATATATTTATTTATTATTTATTTTATTATTTATTATATATTTTATTTCATATTTATTACACATTTATTCCTTATTTATTGTATATTTGATTATTTATTTACCTACCTATATACTCGAATCTATGATTTTTTGTTTTGTTCTTGCCGATATTTGTTTAATTACCCATATTTAAAATACTTCAGTCGGTGCAGCAGTGAACCTTTGTTTTTGTGGATTTTTTGGTTTGGTTTTTGGATTTTATTTTTCTTTATCGTCTATATTTCCCCTAAGACCCCTCCTTGAGAGCCCAGTCAGACATTGTTTCATGCGGTGAGCGATTTTGGATAGAAAACTATGTCGAGCAGGGATGGCCTTATGCATGGTCCCCAGTTCAGCAATGCGGCAAGTGCGGCATACAGGTACCAGAATCAAACGCTACTCCGTTCAACGGAGAGTTCGGTGACGGTAAAGACAAATATCAAGCGAGCAAAAAAATAAATGTCCTAAAGGGTTTGCAAGTTTTTGTCCATCTCACACGCGATATGCACATGTGTGTATACCGCCGACGCAATTTCAGTTGTTAAACATTAAGAGTGGGAGTATGCTTGAAATTGTAAAAAAAATCAGCTTGTAAAAAAGTAAAAGCGTCATATACGTTTTATTGTTTTAAATTGAATTTTTTTGTTTGAATTTTTTCCATACCAGTCATGATGAATTTCATGAACCGAGCAGCGACGGCGGCACCATGCACTACCCGGCTCACTCATGAATAAAAGCCAATGAGAACTTTACGTAAAGGGTGGGTCCTATCCACAGGAAAGTCAAAGGGTTCGCATGAATGTTGATGATTCATCGATTAATGGCCATATAAATTGTTGATATGTCCTAGGCTGCCATGAACAACAATTCATCGACTATTAATCAATGATTCATCAACAAATTCATCAAAAATTCATCGATGATTCATCAACAATTCATCAACGGCTGTGTCATGGTACTGTCGATGACTGCCGTCTAAACTACCGTCGTAACTGTATCGTGGGCAGGTCGTCGAAGTAGAAGTCGCAGTCGGCAGAACGTCGACTTAGTAAAAGTCGCAGTCGGCAGAGCGTCGCCTCGGTAGAAGTCGCAATCGGCGCTTTGATGACAGTGGCCTATTGATGACATGTGGTACTGCAGGGTAGTGGTGTCTTTGTTTGGAACAAACCGCGCGGTGTATAGTGTTGTTTAATGTCGAGTATAGATAAAATTTATTGTTGAGTGTGGCGGGCAGGATTAGGGTATCTATGGCCCGAAGAAAGAGCTAGACGGTGCCAGCCCAAATGCCACGGAGGTCCTTTAAAAGGGATATAATAAAGACTAACTGCAAAGTTTCATTCGAAACTGAGAGGCTAGTTTGCGTAGAAAAAAACAGGACAGACTAACATGGCTAGATCGACTCGACTGTTTATCGTGATTAAGAATATATATACCTTAAACTTAATAATATCCTGCAAGGGTAAAACAAATCATCAAATGCTTAAAGTGTCTTACGTTTTAAGTTGAGCCAGTTTTCCAAAAAGTATGAATTTATTCTTTCTCCGTACTTAACTAATGACATGCAATCTCCTTAGATTTAGATATCTTGTCACCGTACAATCCTATAAAATGGGGCTCGCGAACAGTCGTTCTAAGCTATTTGTTTTTCGCTCTTTATCACTGCTTTAAAGCGGTGTTTTTCTTTTGCCGTACCGTACCGTACTTTTTATTAAAATGGGAAAAACTTCTTTTCAGACCTGTGTTAAAATTGTATTCTTTTACGTTTATGGTCGTCCCACAAACTGTAACTTGCAAATGATATGCACGGTAATGGTTCTTATTTTGAAATTGTAGCAAAACAGCAAAAATTATTTTGAGTTTATTGTCTTGGATTTTAGCTCGTTGTTGTAGCAGCTGTGTCTAAGCTCTGTTTCTAGAGACACTTTCACGGCCATTGTTATCGATTACATGTTGAGGACGAGAATTGCAAGGACGAGTATAAGCAGTGTTTTAAACCCGACTAAAAGCATAGCTAAAGCGAACAGCAAGACATTCGTCTTTAGAAACAGTATTTTTATATAAATCCCCTGCTTCGCCTTTATCTTTATCATAGAGTAAATCTTCTTCGTTTCGCGTACAAGTTTACATATAATGCATTTTAGACCTTGATAGTTTAAGACAGGAACCAATTCAGTATTTTTTAGGAACATTTGTGTAAAATTCCAAAGGAGTCAATGTTGTGGATTGATTCCTTGTTAATGAATAGCTTTCGGTTGTAAATAAATAAAATATATAGTAAAGATTTAGAAATAATTGTTCAACTCATTAAATTTTTATTTTGTGGTTTCAGTGAATGTATCAACGACCAATTTTTTCGGAAAACACATGGAATAATAATAATAATAAAGCCACATATCCAATGTACTTATTATTATATTATATGCAATAAAAAAAAATATTTTTTTAATTTCAAGAAGAGTTATCGTTTATAAGTCCTTGATTTTGCAAAACATTATTCAGTTACAGTAAAAGGAAAGCCAAATTTAGGTAAGTTTACTTTTATAAATATACATACATATGTATACATACATATGTATGTATATCTTATGAGAAATTTGTCTTATTGTAAATAAAAAAAAATCAACAATCGTTCATACACGTTGATAAGCATATAAACATAAATATACACATATTTATGTCTGTATGTATATACACTCTCATATTAATTTGTCTGTTTTGAAAAATAAGTACATTTATATCTGCATATGTATGTATACATACATATGCATAAAATTTCACATATGTGTGTAAATTATACAGGTGCCAATCAAAAATGAGTACACTTCATACAGTTTATTGTTAACATACATACATATGTATTTACCTATGTATATGTATGTATTTATGTATATTTTTGTATATATATGTATGTATATACATATACATATGTATGTACCTATATGTATGTATTTATGTATATTTTTATATATATGTATGTATGTACATACATATGTATGTATCTAAACGCTCATACTAATTTGTCTATTTTGAAAAATAAATACGTTTATATGCATATGCACCCTGCAGTACCTGTCATCAGTAATTCATCAACGTTTCAACAACAGTCAAGGGGGTGCTGTTGATGATTCATCGATGACAGGCCAAACAAACTTAATATGGCACTGTCATCAACGCGCCGACTGCGACTTCTGCCGAGGCGACGCTCTGCCGACTGCGACTTTTACTAAGACGCTCTGCCCACGATACAGTTACGGCGGTAGTCTAGACGGCAGTCGTCGGTAGCAACATGGCCAGGCCGTTGAGAAATTTGTTGATGAATCATCGATGAATTGTTGATGAAACATTGATAAATTGTTGATGAATCATCGATTAATTGTTAATGAATTTTTATTGATGACAGTCTTGGACATGCCCATGTTAAATTCATAAACAGTTTGTATGGCCTGTCATCGATGAATCATCAACAGCACCCCCTTGACTGTTGATGAAACGTTGATGAATTACTGATGACAGGTACTGCAGGGTACCTACACGTACTTATGTATATGCATACGTATTTATTCACAAACTAGCTGTACCCTGCCACGTTTCTCTGTGGCATATTGTGGTTAAGAGGGCACTTCTGAATACATCAATGTTCCGGCAAAATCATCTTCCTGGCATAAGGTGAAGAAGGCAGTCAGAGTTGTCGCTGGCGGATTCAGGACTCTTTCTTGCACATTTCTTTCTGTGAAATAGATACGTTGACCATTCTCCAAATGGACTGCCAAGTGAACTAAAGCTGGATAGCGTTCATGAATGGGGAACGAACAAATTCTCCATGCAACCTCGTTGCTGCTTTTGTATCTTCCAGCCTGGTATTGAGATATTTCATCGACAACTCGTACTGCATTGCTGTCCCCATTTTCTGCCTGAACACCAAAAACTGCCATATCGCTGCCTTTATTCACGTACTTGCAGATATATTTAATCGATTTCACGGAATTGCAATATTCTACGTTGATGTGCGCTTTGTATGATTTTGACAATAGTGTTGAGTATGGAACCACCCAACGATTGTCTACCTCAATATCACCAATTCTCATGTTTAAAGTTGCCGAAGTCCCTCCATCTTCAGTTGACCGTCTCCTATACAGAGGATATCCATCGTCCCCTGTTACGGTGTTGGCTGTAAATGCTCGAGGATATCGCTTGGAACACTTCCCGTCTACCATGCATGGTGAACTTCGGTTGAGGGTACCACATGGGCCATGGATCATGTTCTTGATGACAACTGCATGCAAATCTGTATCAACCTCTGCCCGTGGAATCTCAGCGCATATCACATTGTCAATTTCGTCTGGAGTAATTTTATCATACAGCCAAATCAGTTTGTGCGCATGCGGCAATCCTCTCTTCTGACATTCTACTGAATACATCCAGCACCGCTCAGATCCCAAAACTCCATGTTTCACAATGAAATCCATCAGTGACTTGAGCTTTTGTCTAAAAACACGGGCTGTGATGTCATGCCTATCCCTATATGATTGTCCAGGAAATAACAGCTGAACTATCTCGTCCCAAGCTGGATTGCATGTGAAGGTGATAAATAAGTCTGGACGGCCGTAGCAACGAACATATTCATGCATGTGGCTCGAACTACCTATGTATGAGGATGGCAAAATCGTGAGCTTTCCAACGTTGGTTGTATTACGGTCATTCATCACAGCATCCCGCAAATGTATAAATTCCTCGGACCGAAGTTTCTTCTGATTCAATCGGAGGAACAGCTAACGTTGTTTCAATTTTTGCATACATATCGACAATGTACTGATGAAACAACTGACGACATTTCAATATATGATTGCAATCGGTCCTCCGAACCATTAACCTGTATGAGTAAAAGTTCATCGCGCAGCCGCGTCTCTCGGATGGAGGCCCGTTCTTCGTCAGTCATATTCGCAATCTTACGTCTTTTTGCTTCTGTATTGCGAATACGACGACCCAATCTCGACTTCTTTGGTGGCATGACTTCGTTTCTTACTGAACCTGAACAAAAAATAAAATTTGTATCTCCAATTTCTTCAAAAACTTCTTCTTTCAAACATATTGTCAAACATTAACAGGAAATGCTTTGTTTTGCTTGTAGAGGGCGCAGTAGTAGGGGCACGGGGAAACGCTAAAAAATAGATATATTCGCAACCGCAGATAAGCTATCAACATCAAAAGTAGTCAATAACCGAGCTGGAACCTCAACGCATGTTGTGTAAAAATTTGGGCTTAAACGGTTCAGAACTTTTCGAGTCTATGAAGGATGTAGACACGAACAGAGCATTTTTATATATATAGATGACTTAGAATTCTTAAAAAACAAATAGTAAGTCACAAAATGTTCGTGGTGGGATGTAAATAGATAATAAGCAGGAAAGCTTCATTTAACCAGGTTGTAATTCGACCCAAGGATTGAACCAAGACATTTTTGAACCCTTCTGGTCTTAGTTTAGACACACGTTTAATTATTTTAATGATGATTAAAAATAAGTTATTATGTAAAAACACTTCGTACTAAATGGTTCTTTAATTATAATATTCAATCATGAGAATAAATGTGTAGACAAACTTGTGTGTTTTAAAATATTAAAGATACTAATAATAAGGTGATTTTTCCTTGTACGTACGTACTAAATACTACGTACTAAAAATACGTACTAAATACCAAATGTTGTACAATTAATTTTGTGTTCCTTATGTCTTAAAATTAAACTTTTATTCTAGAAAATGTTTACTTTTACACGGATCCAGTTTTATCGTCCTTGGAAAAAATTCAAACTTTCATTAATTTTTTTTTTCTGTACGTTTAAAAAAAAAAAGAAAAAAGGCTTCTCCGTCCATGACAACATCGAAATCAATAGAATTCAAAACCTTTTCAATTTCCGCATTGGAAATAATTAAAAGGTTATGCATTTATCGCCGTTCCATGTTTTCTGATGAAAATATTTGCACTTCAATACACATAACTTTAGTAGTTCCCCTTCTAAACTTACCTTATAATATTTTCGACAAACTGTCTAAGACCCCGGGTCTAGACGGGTAACCTTATAAAATCAATGAAAAGCGTACAAAACCGTTTATTTTTTTGCTTTTTTTTTTTTTTTTCGTTCGTGATTGTATCAGCACCCCGCCATTATTTTTATATTTAATACTAACTTCCTTTACTATTTTAAACATATTTTAAATATATATTTTTTTCAAAATAATTTTCGAAGGCGATATTCACACATTTTCATTTTTATGTAGCTAAAACTAAAAACTAAACAATAGTCGAACTGAGTAAATGTTAAAACAATGATTGATATAATTAATTACAGAAAAAAAAACAGGTTCTTGGCGCGAGATACTACCGTGTCTCCAGAAGCACCCCACGCTCTTAACTCTTAATTGATCTTGTATGTATAATTATATACTACTAGCTGTACCCTGCCACGTTTCTCTGTGGCATATTGTGGTTAAGAGGGCACTTCTGAATACATCAATGTTCCGGCAAAATCATCTTCCTGGCATAAGGTGAAGAAGGCAGTCAGAGTTGTCGCTGGCGGATTCAGGACTCTTTCTTGCACATTTCTTTCTGTGAAATAGATACGTTGACCATTCTCCAAATGGACTGCCAAGTGAACTAAAGCTGGATAGCGTTCATGAATGGGGAACGAACAAATTCTCCATGCAACCTCGTTGCTGCTTTTGTATCTTCCAGCCTGGTATTGAGATATTTCATCGACAACTCGTACTGCATTGCTGTCCCCATTTTCTGCCTGAACACCAAAAACTGCCATATCGCTGCCTTTATTCACGTACTTGCAGATATATTTAATCGATTTCACGGAATTGCAATATTCTACGTTGATGTGCGCTTTGTATGATTTTGACAATAGTGTTGAGTATGGAACCACCCAACGATTGTCTACCTCAATATCACCAATTCTCATGTTTAAAGTTGCCGAAGTCCCTCCATCTTCAGTTGACCGTCTCCTATACAGAGGATATCCATCGTCCCCTGTTACGGTGTTGGCTGTAAATGCTCGAGGATATCGCTTGGAACACTTCCCGTCTACCATGCATGGTGAACTTCGGTTGAGGGTACCACATGGGCCATGGATCATGTTCTTGATGACAACTGCATGCAAATCTGTATCAACCTCTGCCCGTGGAATCTCAGCGCATATCACATTGTCAATTTCGTCTGGAGTAATTTTATCATACAGCCAAATCAGCGCATGCGGCAATCCTCTCTTCTGACATTCTACTGAATACATCCAGCACCGCTCAGATCCCAAAACTCCATGTTTCACAATGAAATCCATCAGTGACTTGAGCTTTTGTCTAAAAACACGGGCTGTGATGTCATGCCTATCCCTATATGATTGTCCAGGAAATAACAGCTGAACTATCTCGTCCCAAGCTGGATTGCATGTGAAGGTGATAAATAAGTCTGGACGGCCGTAGCAACGAACATATTCATGCATGTGGCTCGGACTACCTATGTATGAGGA